TTATATATACAGGGTGTCCCATAATTCGCGGATCACCTGCCATGTGCAGGTAGAGCACATGAAACCGAGAAGAAAAGTCCTTTACCATTTTGCGATTTTCGTAATAATTATTAAGAAATTAATTTAAAAAGATGGGCCAATCACAAGCGCGCGGCGAGAAGAGACTTCCTACTCAGGCGTTGCTAGGTGCGCGGCGAAGCGGTGGGAGGGGCGCTGTATACGGCTACGTACGAGCGAACGCTGAAGCCACGCACCGAGCAACGCCAGAGTAGGAAGTCTCTTCTCGCCGCGCGCTTGTGATTGGCCCATCTTTTTAAGTTAATTTCTTAATAATTATTACGAAAATCGCAAAATGGTAAAGGACTTTTCTTCTCGGTTTCATGTGCTCTACCTGCACATGGCGGATGATCCGCGAATTATGGGACACCCTGTATACAGGGTGTCCCAGATCATTGGGGACAATACTCGTGTGCAGATAGAGCGGACCAAACTGAGTCGAAAAGTCCTCTATCACATTTTTTTATAGCGCTTAATAAAGGAGTTATTATTGAGTAAAGTCTGGTCAATCAGCGCCAATCTTTAGCCGGGCACACATCGGTGAGCCGTGCACCGTGAAGTGTGCGCTGCCGCATACTACCAGGCGCGCGGCTCACCGACGTGCGCCTGGCTAAAGATCGGCGCTGATTGGCCAGCCTTAATAACTCCTTTATTAAGCATTATAAAAAAATATGATAGAGGACTTTTCGACTCAATTTGGTCCGCTCTATCTGCACACGAATATTGTCCCCAATGATCTGTATATATAAGCACTACTGACGTTTGTGTTTTAAGATGGCGGCGGTGGGCATGGTGGAGGTAGAGTTGGCGCCTCTCTGATAATTTAGGACTCTAGTGTAAACTAGGCCATATCCATATACTAAGGGCCAATTTTACCAAGTCCGGTTAGATGAACCGACGGTTAAAATTAGCAGGGTGGCCAACAGAAAATAGAGGTGAAGGAAAACCAAGCATTCATATCATTTCAATTGGAACCCTGCTAATTTTAACCGTCGGTTCATCTAACTCACGGTCTTACATACAGGTCTGGAAACTCCGGTGTTTTTTTAGTGGTGGGAGGTGTGACCGTTTTTGAGGCATGAACCTCAGTTTCCCGTCCATCCGATAGGTGTGCTACAATACTGGGGTCTAGTAGCTATAGATATATAGCAGCAGATAACCTCATCAAAGCTACCGTTGTGTCATCAGCTCATCGCTGTCATCAGGGTCATCAGTCGTATAGATGCGTGTGAAGAGTGTCGAAAAGCTATTCAACAAAGAAATTCGTCTTCAGTGTCGAAGCTGGTCGACGAGAAATCTCGAGGGCGGTTAATTCATGCCAATACACATGTTGAGGAAACACATAGTAAACATATCCGTCATTATAAACCTATACAAAGGAGAATACAATCGATCGCGAATTTGAATATTAGCGCGCCGGCCGGCGAGTGCGCTTCGCGCACGGCGCGCACCGATCATTTGCCTCCGCGTCGGTTGCGTCGCTCCGCAAATCGCGAGGAGCGAGGACTGTTCGAAACCAAACAGACAACGAACATTTCTTGGAACAAACTTATTTCGTTTGTTGAGTTTTGTTTTGCCAAACACGCTAACGAAAAGCATGTATTTGATTTAACAATGGACGAAGTTTTATCTAATTATAATTTTACGTTTCCGTGCTTGAAGCATGCTTCAAAAATATTATTGTATGCTATATATTATTATATAAGGCTGAGGATGCGTCAATTCACGTATCAGGAAAACCAAAAAAAAACAAAAACAATTCGTTGTGAAGAACAAACTTGCTAAGCTGACAAAGCAATAAAAGTTATAGTAATATACACAATGCGTTTGCTACTTTCTTGTACTCCTCAATGAGCTTCTGTTTTAAAAAGATTGTTTTTTAAACATCATTGCACAGCTGTTTGGACCAGAGATGTCAATTCTGAGACTCTGCCACAGCCACAGCGTGTGGAGGGGATAACTCACACAAGCGTGAACCGTGTACATGTAATGCGCAGAGCGTTCTGCGCATTACACGTACACGGTTCACGCTTGTGTGAGTTATCCCCTTCACACACTGTGGCTTTGGCAGCGTCTCAAAACTGGCATCACTGGTTTGGGCCTGTGTAATGTGATTAGCTCACCCCTAGGTTGCACTGCTGCAGGTGCCGGAAGCGAGAACTACCATCCTTGCTCCAAAATCGGAGACACTCCCCACCCTACAAATTTCCAGACCTGTATGTAAGACCGTGATCTAACCGGACTTGGTGAAATTAGTCCTAAATGTCGGATGCACCCACTATATATCTGGACACCCATCTATATATCTGGATTGCCGATCGCCTTTGTTCGTAGAACTCAAAACTGTCCCCAAATGAACGCCGCCATTTTACCCGGCAATTTGCCTCCGAGCGTGGGAAATTCAAATGAGTTGGACTAAAACCACGGTCTATGTAAGACCGTAACTGAAACTTACGTTTACCTAACATTTTGCTGTAATTTAAAAAATCAGGATTAAACGATGAAACAGATCATAAAATAGACCAAAATATTACAAGATTTTATGTTTAATAAAACAATAATTCTTTATTCATTCAATAAAGGTTTTTATCATACGTTTTAATTGCTATAATACAATCAACTTGTCATGATTCGAGGAATTTTGGATTATATTTTAATATTTACAATTTCTTAATCATTTTTTGTGGGTCTTATAAATAAAATATTTGCAAATATAGAGAATGTTACTATAGTTGGACCTTCCTTTTCGTGTGCAGCTATTACAAAGTTAAAAAGAAAGTTAAAAGTTAAAAAACTGTTAAAAAGTTTATTAAGCGGTATCCATGATCTGCACTTATTGGTATCACTTAGGGTGCGTTCCGTTTCACGCATGAACCGCATGAAACGCAGCATATCGCATGAGCGCATTGACTCGTTCCCTTTTTCCCATCACTCTTACTGCGCATAGAGAAACGGAATAGACCCATGCGCGCTCGTGCTGTTTGTAAACAGACATGGCAGATGAAATGTATGATATTTTTGCAAGCATTCTACAAGCATTGTATATAATATATAGAGAGAATTTTCTACTTTGAAATATTTTCAGACCTCACATATTCCTAAAAGACGTCTAAAAAACGATTTAAAGATGTCTTATCGTTCTTTAAATATTTTCAAGATGTCTTTTGGCCTTTTCGTGCTGTCTGGGTATAAATGTCTTTTTAATACAATTTTTAATATTTATGGAAAGCAATGGAATTTTAAACGAAATCTCGAAATGCGTCGGTCTCGTAGATAGAAAGTGATACATGATCATTTATCGATGAACGCATTAACCGAATTCTTTGCAGGCTTTGTAGGGGCCGCGCCGTTGTGTCCGCCTACGTGTACATATATTTAGATTTGGAGTTTTATTCTTCTCACAACGGGTATCGACTCATTCCGGGATACCCAGATCATCCTGTCATGGTCATCCCATCTCCCCTCCTTGCTCGCCAGTCGTCGTCTTTTTCGGGGGCTCCTCTTCTGCTTTTCTAGCGCGAGTTCTGATTGGCTTCTGCTTTTCTGCTTTCTGCTTTTCTGCCAAGGTATGAATTCTCCCTAAGGGTACATCTCCAGGAGGCCTATCAGCAATCCAGATATATAGATCGGTAGGTGCACCCGGGTAGGGAATCGGAACACAGCACTGGTCTAGTTTCCACCGAAGTATTAATTCGCATCTAGTGCGGCGTAAGACTAAATTTAAGTCGATGGAAATACGACTGACTGTGTTCATTTCACTCTCACTCCGATCTACAAGCTTTGTCGGAATGGCAGCGAATTGACACGAAATTTATGGCGAATTCGATTGATGTGCACTCGCTCCGTTTCAGTGGCTAGTAACTTTTTGTTACCAGACGCACATGGTTGGAGCGCATAGTTTAATACTGACCCGAATGCGATTATTTGCACTGACTTGGGAGCGATTACAGGCACTGATCCCAATATAGTGCATTTAGTAACTTTTTTAGTGGTGCCCACATGTGCAATATGCGACTTGTAATCAACAAGAGAGCAGAGAAAAACCTACAGTAATCAAAGAGAGATACTTTAAATATGAAATAATATAATAAATATTTAAACTATACATTGAAATTATGTGTGATAATACCTCTTTATCAGAATATTCATTTATAATATTTATCATATTCCGCACTTTCGGAATTTGTGTTTCATGTCGCATTAATACTGCCATCATTTCTTCATCGCTAGAACTGCTCGAACTATTTAACAGTTCATCTAATAATAATATTTTAGCTGCCATATTTTTTCATTGGAATACTCAAATTTGCACTGAACTGCACTGTGTCGAAAATCTCAGTGCAATTCAGTGTCTTCTGCACTAGTGCAATGTATTTCAACCGAACGTACAAATAACACTGCACTGGAATAATGCAGTTCAGTCGAACACGTTTCCACTAGCACATGTTTTCAGTGCACTATCAACCGAATACACATAAAATTCTGAACAAGTACAGGGCAAGCCAACCGAATACTAAATACTGAAAGAGTGCGCACTCAGTGCGCACTAGTGCATCCAATCGAATTCGCTATTAGACGGTGGAAACGCTTGAAAGTAGATGGTGCCAACCTTTACTTCCCATTATTTCGTAACCATCAATATATAGTCGATATATAGTCTATATGTTGATGTTCGTAACAGTTACCGTTCGTTCGTATTAATTATCAAAATGGAAAATAAACGAGAAATTTGTCAAGGATTATGTTTATTTACATTCACAAGCAAAAGTTAAGTTGGCTTTACTGAAATATTAATCTTCCTTGCTTCTATTCTACTTCCAATGGAAATAGTGCGTTAAATTCGATGCGCACCGAAAGAGAATCGGATTGACGACTTCGGTGGAAACTAGATCTATGACTACGTTTACACGTCACCCCTAATCGGGTTTAATAACATCTGCAATTCCAAGGCTGGCCAATCACAGTCATTCCATTCTTCAGAGAAATAGCCGTGATTGGCCAGTTTTACAACTACGGATGTTATTAACCTGATTAAGGGTGCCGTGTAACAGAGCTTACTCACAATGACTACGTTTACACGTCACCCCTAATCGGGTTTAGTGCCAGTCTACAATAGGTGATTTAAGATTTAGCCTTTGTTTTAAAACTTTAACGTTGCTTTAAGCCTTAAGCCTTAAAAATGTTTTTACGCCAAGCCCGTCTACAATGTGCTTTAAGACTCAATCTATGAATCGTGTTATCGTGGAGTTGCGTTATTATCAAAGTTGCGTTTATTGAAATCCATGTGGCCATTAAAATATGGATAATGAAATAATATTATCTATTATTGTTTTAACTCACTTGCGCAATGCACTTTTGTGTATGTATTTTAAAAAAAGGAACCGAAGAAGATGGTGGGTGAGAAATATTAACCGAAAAAGAACAGAGCAAGGAGTATACAACAATTTGTTTAGAGAATTATATTTTACGGATGAAGAACAGTTTTTTGAATATACAAGAATGAACATAAGACAGTTTGATTATTTGTTTTCTTTGGTTGGTCCTTTGCTTCAAAAGAAAAGCTCAAGAGAGCCCTTGCCCTTAAGACTTCGCCTAATTGTCACTTTGAGGTTAGTATATTATCAATACCATTATTGTTTTAATCAATATTTTTTTCATGTCTTTGTATAGTCATCTCTTGTTTCGACAGTTACCTAGCGTCTGGTGACAACCCCAAGTACTGATCTAAGTACTACAGGATTGGTGCTTCTACCATATATAAAGTCATTCAGGAAACCTGCGAAAGTATTTGGCAAGCTCTGTCTCCATTGTTCCTCAAAGCACCTAGCATAGAAAAGTGGAGTGAAATAGCAGAGCATTTTTATAATCGATGGAATCTGCCTAATTGTGTCGGTGCTCTGGATGGAAATCCGTATGCAATGTCCTCCTCATAGTGGTTCAGAATATTTCAACTACAAGAAATATTTCAGTTTGGTGTTGATGGCATGTTGTGATGCCAATTATTGCTTCACGTGGGTGGAAGTTAGTGATTATGGTAAGACCAGATCTGAAAATTTATTAGGCATTGGTCAAAGTTTTGAATGAGTTATTTATTTCTTGCAAATCTTGTATTTGTTTCAGGCTCACTCCCAGACAGCAGTATTTTTGGAAATTCAGGGCTAGGGACAGCCTTGGAAACAAAATCTTTAAATCTCCCTCCACCTAAGAAATTACCAGGAACAAATTATAAAATGCCTCATTTCTTTGTGGGAGATGAGGCGTTTCCTTTGAGACCAGATTTAATGCGTCCTTATTCAAAAAAAGGCATCAAAAGTAATACAGAGAGAATATTTAATTACAGGTTGTCTCGTGCCCGGAGGATAATTGAAAATGCTTTTGGCATTCTTTCATCGAGGTAAGTGTCATGTCCAATTAACAATGAAATATTTTTTTATTAATAAAGTAATGAATTACTATGAACGTATGTAATTAACAGATGGAGAGTTCTTCACACATGCATCAGAATAAAAGTAGAAAATATAAAAAAAATAGTATTGGCTGCAATATGTCTCCATAACTTTATGATGATGAGAGAGGACCGTGAGACTGAAAGAAGGATATATTGTCCTACAACTTATATTGACAACGAAAATGATTCAAATGGGATAGTGACACTAGGAACATGGCGGAATGCAGCTGCATGTTCGAATTTATGCGATTTTGGTCGTTTAGGTAGCAATAATGCAACAAGGACGGCTATAACTCAAAGAACAACATTGGCCGAATGGATGCTTACAGATGAAGGACAAGTACCCTGGCAATTTCAAATAATTCTCCATGATCATGATGTTCACTTTCTTTCTTAGTAATATATATATATGCATATATACACACACAAAACACACATATGTATATATAATGTTGCTTATGTTTGGTTATTTTATTTTGTATTAAAATATAATTGCTGCTAATAAATATGTCTTAATAATAATTAAAAAATGTCTTCAAACCAATACATTTGCAAAAACTTTTTCAATAAAATAGGTAAAACAAGCATTTCTATTCAAATTTATTACTTTTATTTTATATTTAGGAAACATTAATATACATCCACTTTATATAAACATTTTTATATAAACAATATTTCACATAAATAGAAACATGCTGCTGTAACATGACATTACTAATAACATAAATTTTTAATATTGTGACTAATACATAGTAACGTAATAACTTTAAAATTATAAAGACAATGTTTTTCATATAAAAAAATTAATATATTTCTATTATCACATTATCTTACTTTACTAAATAACATCTTATTTTTTTTAAATTACATGAAGAGTGTACTCTTTTTCCAGAAAAAAACTGCTGTTATAACACTATGTTAGTTTGTCATTAAAAAAAACATTGGGTTTTTAGTGGTTGAATGATTCAATTAATTGTAACACAGCTATCAAGCAAGATAATTGGTTTTCGGGCACCACTGACTTTAAAGCTTGTGCAATAACATTTGCATTTGGATCAGAAACTTTTTCTTTCTCTTCGATTCTTCCACTTTTGTACGCTACTGCTAAATCAGTAACAGCTTGCAATGATTTTTTAAGAACATCTTCGAGGCGCTCATTACAGGCTTTCTTATTTTGTGCAAATGTATCAAGGGGTGGCACCAACTTTCGCTTTCCATGTTTCTGTGTTTTTGAGATTCCTGGTATACTTATAATATTGTCTGTTTCTTTGGTGGAAACTTTACGTAATTTATACTCTGCAGGAATGTTTTCTATGTTTTCTGCAAAAGTATTATCATATCAAGAGATATAGATATGCAAAACTAATAACATTAACAGAAAAAGGTAAGATAATACTGTACCAATATTCAGTGATTCACAGTGATCATCATTCCAGGTAGAATATTCAGAATCAGAACATGAGGTGATATTTTGTGATTGTATTGCACAGGCTGCGGTAGGTGATAAGACAGGTGAGTTTATTGAGCAGATACTGGAAGTTTCACTACATGTGGAGAAGTTTGACTTCAGTAGCGATGAGCCTTTTGTTCTATAGATGCAAAAATAATTTATCACAAATCTATTCCAACCTCTTTTTCTTAATTATAATCAGGCAAAATAAAAAATATAATTCTGGTAAATCATGAAACTATTCTCATTCTCATATTTTGCATTGACTATAATTGTGCTTTAGTTTACATTTGTTACAGCTAATATTTACTGTAGATAAGAAAGAATATTTTGTGTTTATTACTTAAACGTATATTTTTAAGAAAAAAGAATCTGAATATATTTACTTTCTATTTTGAATGTGAGACATAAGAAATGACATGCTGGACATTAAGGGCCATTCTGCTAATGTTCCAGAACCTGATGGTTGATTTTTCTGTTGACGGCGCTTTCTACAGAACTGATTTCTCAACGAATCCCAGCGTTTTCTTGCTTCACTGGCTAGAATACAAAAAAATATTGGCATAGATATACCACAATTTTGTTTGCAAAATAATAAAGAAATGTTAATAACTCACCTGTACAATTCAAAGTATCAGCTATTACTTCCCATTTCATGTCTTTTAATTTGTTATTCTTAAAATTCTTGTCATTTTTTGCGTATAAACATGGATTTCCTTGTACAATAGAAATTAAAAGTTCATCGTTAATTTCAACAAACTGTTCATCGTCAATTTCAACACACTGTTCCTCGACGTCTGACATCGTGGCTATGTTCCGATATTTTCACTGCTAATCTTTACTGAAAATCTAGTATATGTCAATAAATTTTTGCCCGTGTTGGCGAAGTAAATTGAAATATCCGCCTATTCTCGTATTGGCTGAGAGAAATTACATTGATTCTAGCCTCAAGCTCTAAGCTTTAAAAGATGGGAGTTGGCCAACTCGCTTAGGGCTTAGAGATTAGGGCTTAAGGCAGCGCGAAAAATGTTTAAGGCCGGAAATACGTCACAGTTTAGAGCTTAAGTCATAAGGCTTAGGGCTTAAATCACCTATTGTAGACCGGCACTTAATAACATCCGTAGTTCTAAGGCTGGCCAATCACAGTCATTCCATTCTTCAGAGGAATAGCTGTGATTGGCCAGTTTTACAACTACGGATGTTATTCAACCCGATTAAGGGCCAATGAGCTCTGTTATACGGCACCCTTAGGGCCAATTTCACCAAGTCCGGTTAGATGAACCGACGGTTAAAATTTTTGGTGGTCCATAATTTATCCAAAATGTAAAAAAAACCATGTGCGGTTAGGTAGTGGGGATGGCTAACTGGAAGCTGTGAAGTTAGCCGAACAAATATATTATTTACCAACCAATTTTGTTCAAATTGGTCTTAATTGAACAACAATCGTTTGGTGGTGATTGGTGGTCTAATTACAACGTTTGGTAGTTAATTATTAAGGTAACATTTCATGGGCAGTGAAAAGCAGCAGCAGTTTAGTAACTAACTAGCTTTGTTTGGTGATTTTACAGAATTGCTGCGCTGCCCATGAAATAGATTTTCTGCAGTGCTTTAAATCGTTAATCTCAATTTCAATATTAATTGAGATATAACCGAATGAGTAATTATTTTTATAATTATAGTTCCTACAAACTTACCTCTGGTGATTCCATACTTTAGAATATATGTACATATATAACCAAAACACAGCTTTTACTGCTTTGCTGTTCAACAGGATGAACTTCAAACAGCAAAAACTTGCGCCGGAAGTACGTCACCGAGTCTAGTTACTTTCTAAACTGCTGCTGCTTTTCACTGCTCATGAAATGTTACCTTTAGACTACTACGATTATAAAACCATGTGCGCTGATCCTGCGCCTGCGTGTGCCTTCGTCGTGTAATGGCTCTCGCAGACCAGCGCGTTGACGCGACGCGCGATATCCAATGAGAGCTCTGATTTTCGGAAAAAATAAAGCCCTGATTGGATATCGCGCGTCGCGTCATCGCGCTGATCTGCAAGAGCCATAATGCTGATATTACATTCAGACAAAATGTTTGTGGATTGGCAATCAGATGGAGAATTCGGAGAATCTCGATAGAGACTCTAGAAATTCTCTATTCGATAATCAATCGTTACGTTCGACAAACATTTTGTCGTGTGAATGTATGTCGTCGAATGTGTGACGTCCCGTCATTTTTCAAAACCATATTTCAACTAATAATTAAGTACCGCATCTATTACTGCATTATGCCTATGGAATATAGAACAATTATTTAACCAATTGCCCTTATTTCCATTATTAATCAATTTTACTAATTGCTCATTATTCTAGTTCCATATGGTTATTTAACTTAGAAACTAACTATATTTTAGTTCTTTTAATAGTAATAACCGATTGCGCAAGGAATTAAAAATTCCTTGGACCAGAGAGAAGCCTGAGAGCGGCCATCCCAGCGTTTTTCGTACGATAGCTTTCGGTCCCGTACAGCAGCGCCTCTACGTCCATTTTACAGACGCTTGGAACTACATTGGCCACGTCCACTTTCGGTGGCATGATAAAACAACCAATTGGTTCATGTCCACGCTACGTCCACTTTTCGATACTGTCGGTCTTGGTTCATGTCCGTGCTACATCCACTTTTCGATATTGTCGATGCTGGTAGTACACTGATCGCTAGACAAAGAGAGATGATTGCGCCGTCTTTGTCTCTCTTTCATCGCGTATGTGTGTAGCGTCCGTGAAGATACAAAACCGATACATTGAGCACACGGATGCGATTGTTGGGAGATAATGTTAGACAATCGCGTGCTATCCTTGTTCCTCTAGCGTATCGCTTTACGACCGAGATACAGCCTGAAAATGCTTTCTGGCCTCTCGTGACAGAAAGCAGTAATGCAACAAGGCTAATAAGCACCCACTTTTTGAGAATTTTATATTTGCGTATATATATATGCGGATATATGTTTAAATTATAGTTAAAATTGTACTTGCAATTAAATATTATATGACGATCAATAATAATAGTAGAACAATGGATAATAGAGTGAATTAATACAAAATACGTAAGACGGGTGCCTGCTAGACTTGATGATTTGTTGCTTTGTTAATATCGATACTCCGTGTATCATAACTTTGATTTTCATTTTTTTTCTTCTGTACAAAGCTATATAATATATATTTTATGGATTGTTGTATATACAGGGTGTCTCACAACCTCCGTACAATATTTTAATAGCGTATTTTGGAGGCAAAATGGAGTAAAAAATCTTAATACAGAAATATCGAGGCTACAATAATGTTTGAGTTAAAAGTGATCAAAGTTTGCCAATAATATTGCGTAGAATTCGCGTCCTCCGCGCGTGCTTCCTGTCTATGCATGCACTTTGGTATATTCCAAACTTTTTTTGTTAATAACTTTTTCATAAGCAACGAGCGACGATTAAATTAGAAGAAAAAGTTACTCAGAATTATGTCCTTGACAACATATATCAAGGTCAAGGTCATTGAGGGTTGGTCCCCTTTTCGCTATATTTACCAAATACTGATATTTAAACATAGATATTTAAACAAAACAATAAAATTTGTATTTATTGGTATAGATATTTAAGCTTTCATTACTTTGCGATTTCTATGAATGTAATTTTTCGAATGGTTTCTTTTCGCCGCTTATAGCGATATATATTTACGCATATTTGATACCTCCGCGCGGTTACCGTATTTTCACCACACTGCTATTCCTTACCAAAAACTGAGACGAAAAGTCCTGAGCCATTTTTTTTATAACGCTTAATAAAAAAGTTATTATTGAGTAAAGTCTGGCCAATCAGCGCCGACCTTTAGCCGGGCGCACATCGGTGAGCCGTGCGCCGTGAAGTGTGTGCCGCCGCATACTAGCAGCTTTATTAAGCGTTATAAAGAAAAATGGCTCAGGACTTTTCCTCTCAGTTTTTGGTAAGGAATAATGCTATGTACTTAGTGGGCGGTCATTACTGGTCACCCTGTATATATAGCATTTACAAATAGTGTTAATAAAGGATTAAAACGTAATGCCGTGCAAATTTCTTTTCATAATACACAAAATGAAGACAATTTTCTAAATAATAAAAGAAGAAAAATCATGAAAAAGGAACAAGTGCTTCAAGTGGAAGAAACAAATGCGAAAGAAACATTATTGAGGAGAATGCTTCATCAGCATCATTTGCATCTATTAATAATTCCGTACGAGATATAATAAACGTGCTGCAAAAATAGGTAATACATCTTCTTCCAAAAAAAAAGTTAAAAGGTTTTTAAGCAAGTAAAATGTACATATATCAAAATAGATCTTGAGCACCATTATATAAGAAAAAATATGGAGCGAAAAAATGAAGCACGCGTGTGCGCGAGTGTGAGAAAGTGAGAGAGCGACAAACGTAACATTTTGGGGGCTCGTCCGAGATCGTCATCTCGATATTGGAATACGAATATGAGTACGGTACATTCACCGAGGAGGACCCGAGCGAGGACAGAAAAACCACCTACTGATGATATGAGGCCCGCGACGGAAACAACATCTCTTGGAGCAATACTGGAAGAGTTACGGAGAATGCGCGAGGAGCAAGCTCGGAGGGAAACGGAGCTCACAGCGAGACTTCAACAATTTGAAGATGAGCTCACGCGGCTACAAAGAAATAACCAGCTAAGTCCTTCGATTTCTAGAGTCGGGAATTCGCGGGGCGAAAACACGGCGGAAATTAACATACGCGCGGAGTTAGATTTTAAATTAAAACCGGACGTGTTTGATGGAACGGTGCCGCTGCGGGAATTTTTCTCGCAATTTAATTTAATCGCTCAGGCGAATAAATGGGACGACACGACTAAGACCGTTGCATTTGCTGCGTGTTTGAGGGGCAAAGCGCGTTCTGTGTTAGAAGCTATACAAGATGTGTCGAGTTTGGAATTTTCAGAGTTGAAATCTAAACTCGAATTGCGTTTTGGGGAGGGACATCTGTCTCAGAATTTTTATACGCAATTTACGAACCGTAAACAGAAAGCTGGGGAAGATTTGGCTACCCTTGGCTCTGAGCTTGAAAGACTCGTGCGCGCTTATCCTGAATGTCCGCTTGAGGTTCGCGAAAGAATTGCCTGCGCACAATTTATTTCTGCTGTTTCTGATAACTTTATTAGAAAAACCCTTCAACTCGAAAGTGTTGATTCTTTGAATTCGGCGATAGAGAGGGCGGAAACTTTAAAAGTTATTCAAGGGGAAGGTTTCGAAGAGAGAAGAAAAAATTTTAATAGGGAATGTTGGACATGCGGAAAAACTGGTCATTTCCGTTCTGATTGTCCTAGCAAGCAGGAAAACGCGATTAAGGGATAGTTAAAAAGACTTTGAAGCTCAGAGTCCCATTTAAAATTAATTTATTTGTTAAAGAAAAACATTTTTCTGTTTTCTGCGTTAAATATTTTGCCCGTTTCAGAAAGCATGGTCTCCAAGTGTTCCCTGATGACTGAAGTGTTTCTTTTTCTTTTAAAACTTCCGTCAATCTCTTCAGGAAGAAGGAAGTTTAATTTTTGAAGACTGCCTCTCCCCGGTTTTCGACTGAGGTTTTCCGTGGGACTAGGGCGAATGCCGAAGCAGGGGCAAGATTAGTCTTACAAGACGCTTGGGTCCTCAGAAAGTCCCCCCCCCCCTTGTCCGAAGACTTGCAAGATTGCGTTGGAGCAGCACTAACATTGAGGAAGTTCACATGAAAGAAGAGTGGAAATCCTATGACGGCGTGCGGAAGTTGAAGAAGAAGGAAGCCTGGCCAGCTCTCTATCTTCAAGAAAATCCGCAATGAAGTCCCAAAATCGTAGGTGGAGATCGTGGAAAAATGGGGCCTGGTAACTCGTGGCGGCAGCTCGAGGTAGGGCAAGAGACCATTTTTGGTACCCTGAATCTTCAAGGAGGTCCCGAAGTCATAGGTGGAGACCGGGGAAAAATGGAGCTTGGTAACTCGTGGCAGCAGCTCGAGGTACTGCAAGAGACCATTTTTGGTACCCTGAATCTTCAAGATGACGAGAAGGGACAGAGAACCGCTTGAAATCTACTCTTCCGAATTGTCGGGAC